GAAAATATGAAATTGAGACAGGATAGACAAAAGTATAAATATAATGACTAGAAAGATATTGAAACTTAGAAAAAGATATATATATATATAATTGAATCTAGGAAGGAATGAGATAATTAAAAGTAAGATTGAGAAAACTAAGGGAAGGGAAAAATTATTGAGAAAATGTTAAAATAGTAATAAGATATGGAATAGAACACAAAGATGAAAATGAAATAGAATTTGTGTCTGTGTGGAGAAGTGATAACCCGGGACCATGCTATTCTCAAAAAAAGGAATTTTCCTTGTATTATGTTTTGTGAAAACCCAAATAAATTTTTTATTAAAAAAAAGGTTTTCTGTAAAATCTGCAATTTTACAGAAAGAAAAATATTGCTACTTTTTATTTTATTTTATTAAATAAGTAATACAGGTAATAAATTTCAAATCGCTATATGCAAAACTCATAAAAGGAACTGACCAAAAATGTAGAGTGAAATCTTAATCTTAAATAAAAAATAAAACTTCTTGGAAAACTAGCAGTACTTTAGACTGGTTCTGAACAGGCTTCTACAAGGCTAAGTATAATGAAAGAATGGTTTTAGGAAATAATTTCCTCCTAGATTTTGAAAATTTATTTATATTGTAAAAATGTCAAGATGTAGGTTTAAGTATATTTATTTTTATTTATCAAATTTATATAGCTACCTATCTCTCAATTGTGGCCCTGGGCAGTGTACAATGAAATCAAAAGCAATAAAAACAGGTCCTTAAATAACCAGAAAAAACAAAAAAACAAAAAACATGCATATAACTCAGGAGAGTTTTGTCTCCCAGGCCCAAACCATTAATGTAAATATAAATTTATCACAAAAATAGTTTGTCACAAAAGCGACTTCCTGCAAAGGCTCCTGGATTGAGACTGAAAGGCAAAAGCAGAAGCAGTATGCTCTGTCCCGTATTTGGGTAGACCAGGTTTCCCTTATAAAAAACAATCTCTCCCCTGGTATAGCCAACAAAGAAAGCATAACTTGTGACTTAGAGATTAATACATCTACCTAATACAGGGATCCCAAATTTGGCAATTGTTGTGGTTCACTAGCAACCTGTGCAGACGGCAGCAGAATCAGACAGTGGGGAAGAACAGGGACCAGTCTCGGAGTCTGGGGGGGGGGGACTCGGATGACAGTCCTGTGTCCGATAGAGAGATGGGGCCAGGATCACCTGGGAGTTAGGTGCTGACTCCAGAGCCTCCAGAATCTTGCAGCAGTGAGGCAGAGGAACAAGGGGAGCCTGTTCCCAGTGTGCGTGTGTGCAAAGCTGCCAGAAGGTAAGAGCAGCTAAGACAAAAGGGGCGACTCGGGAGTAAGGCCTAAGCCCATAAGATATAAAGGAAGTGCAAAGGTAGAGAAACTTTGCAGGAAGCAAAGTCATTCACTGTGTTCAGATTAAACCTTGAACCTCTGTGTGGACTTTGTACATTGTTTAGCTTTTTACAGTTAATTTGGCACTTTAGTTGTAGCAATTCAAAGGAGATAAAAGTGGGTGCTTACCTTGAGAGACTGTTTGGGACTCATTACAGGCTGGGAATGAACATAATTCCAGCGTTGAAATAAAACAAGAGTTGTTTGGACTAAGTGTGTGCTTAATTACAGTCCCAGGAAGTCTTGGGCAGAACAGCAATTTTAAAACTTGTGAACTACAACTACCAGAATTCCTATGCATATGCTGGCTGAGGAATTCTGGAAGCGGAAGTCCACAAGTTGCCAAATTTGGAAACTTCTGACCTAATATGTAAGTAGCCTGGGTTCGAATACTAGAAGGGTATGGCTAACTGTCAAGAGCTAAATAGATCTATACTAGTCTCCCTTTTTTGTTGGTAAATATAAATTTTACATACTTAATGAAATGGTTGTTCTATTATCTTATTTGGATTTCCCAGAAATGCATTAGAAGTAGAAACATTGCATTGGCTCCAATTTTATTTTGTTTTTAAAATTAAATATCAAATCATTTGATATTTGATGTTATGTCTAAGAGCTGCAAGGAAAAGGAGACTTAGATAGCCATGTTCCTGGATCAAGGTACAGTACACCACAATGTGGTGAAGGGGACTCTATACCACAACATTTTGTTTTCCAAGGACAGACAGGAAAAGGTGTTAAAATTACATAATCCAGTAAATAATCATGTCTTTTGTACCTATACCAACCACTTAGTTAAATAACGTCTCAATTTTTATTTGCCTCAAAAGTAACTTACAAATGAAATTCATATTTTACCTGAATCCAGTGAGTCAAGGTTTTTACAGATGAATAATCAGGATTTGTTGCAGCATATACATCCATCCGACTCTGCAAAACAAAAAGAATTTAAATTTATACACAAAGGAAATATATGAAGAGATTTTTTTTATTGTTTCACGTTATAAAATAGAAACAGGAGAGGGTTTGCAAAATATTTAAGTGGTTATCCATTTTAGCAATACAAAAGACACAACATAATTAATCTGCCTTATGTTGTCTGTGGAAGAACACACGTGACGTTATTATTCCGATTTCGGACTAGACAAGCGGACTCAGATCAACTTATCCTTAGCTCAACTATAAATATTGGTTAATGATGATATCTTTATTCTGTCTCAAAGTGCAGGCTGGGCATTAGCAGTGTGGTGCCGTGTGGGTCATAATGAAGGGTGCGACTGTCTGTCTGTCTATCTATCTATCTATCTATCTATCTATCTATCTATCTATCTATCT